CTATCTCCTCTCTTCCTTCCTTTTTTCTTCCTCCTTCCTTCCTTCTCTGATCCCTCCTCCTTTACCTTCTCCCTTCAACTACTGGACTGGTAGATGCCTCGTGAAAATACCCCTGGACCCTCGCAGCGAGAGCACGTTTGGTTGACAAGAGCCCCGTAACCGTATGAGACGCGCTGTACCACGTTCTAAACCAGTTTATTGGTCAATTTTCAAGAGCAAAAACTCTTATATCACGTTTTATATGATTTCACTACAGTACTCTGAACTAGCGTACAATCAAGCTGCGCTTCAGTTTCCACCTTCGGGTTTCTGCGCCAGTACACCTGCCGTTTATGTGAGAACGAGGTTTCAGTGCGAATCCCATATGAATTCCTATTCTATTATGCTGCTAGTTCTGTCTCCTTGTGTCTGAGAGTTGTATTAAGCAGCAAAAGCTATGACCTGACGATCAAATTAGATTTTACTGTTCTAGTTCCGTACAGGTTGTATGCCTCTGAGAGTGTCAAACATTGAACTGAGATGGGCAGATGACGACTTGGTGAGAAAACGACTAATCGAGAACGGTTTCGACCACGATGACGCTCTGAAAAGTACCAACTATTCCGATCGGACGACTCATGTTTATGAAGGTGGTTTCAAGGTAACCATGAGAGTTTCAAGACACAGCTCGCGATTACTTGACTTTTCATAACCTCTTCGTTTACAGTACGTGGCGCGGTCTGCTGCAGTAGCCAGGAATGTATCACCCTCGCGAACAGAAAAGTGCTTGATAAGAAGGCAATGGCTCTGTCACTGTAAGCAGTCTCTGCCCCGTAATTGTCCTTTACAGCGCTTTGTTTCTTTCAATTGCTGGGAAGGAAGGACGGACTTTGACAGGGCGGCAGCCCGTTCTCCCCTAATTGTTCTCTTTGGTCCCCTTCAGCAGTTGTTAAAGGGCTGGCGCCGCGCCACACCCAGCCTGCCTAACACGTCCCAGCAACCTATCGAAGAGAACTGTTGGTTACTGTACCACTTGCTATATGGGTGCTGAGTCTCTAAGGGAAAAAGGGTCTAGAAAAACTTGCTGAGTTAAGGGAAAAAGGGTCTATAGAAAAACTGTCTATGTACTCTCAGGCCATGTCAAAACCTGTCCTCCTTACACCCAGTGTCTCTACGACGTCTTATTTAATGGTCTTCAACGATTTGTTTTGCTTCTTCTCGACCGTATATCACCCGTCCAGGTGCTATACGCTGATCCCGTGTGACTATGAGGCGTGATTAGTCTCAAGTCACCCCTGGCGTTCCAACCGCGCACGCTCGAG